TTTTTTCATTTTGATTTTACTTATTTTTATTCTATCTTACTTGAATGCACATTTTTGGTTGACTTAAATAAGCACATTGGGGGCCAATGAACTGTACATTATTGAATTGTACATTATCTTATATATCTTACTGGAAATATCAATTGTACATATCGTCAAATCAGTACTGATTTTTATATACTTTAGATACTGCGCACTCTGCACTGCTGATATTGCACTTCTGGTTAGATGCTAAACTGTATTCCATTGCCTTGTACTCGTACATGTGTAATGACAACAAAGTTGAATCTAATCTAATCTAAAATTATGTTCGGGTCCAGACACATGGGTCAAACTTTAGGCTAGGTGGCTGGAGCACTCAAATGTCTGCTTTCTTTAATGATAAGGGGGAAAACACCGTACAAATTCATGTGCGTCGGACTCAGGTCGGGTTCAGACATTATATACTATAATTTTGTTGGGTCCAGGTCAGGCTTAGATGATACAACTCTTGGGCAAGGGTCGGGTTCAGACAGAAATAAGTGGCCCAATCTGTTTTCTAGACAGCGATAGTTGAATATTTTTAATTATGACACTAACTGATGAAAAAGAAAGGGTGTCAATTTAATAGGCTACATCTGGCCAGTGCATTAATAAATTATTGGTTAAAGCCTTATTTATATTCATTATATAGTTAAGCATCTTAACTATTAAAGTTTTTTTAAATGAATGTTGTGTTTACAATTTCTAAGACAGCAGACCCTTCATAATTATTCGTACACACAGTTTAAGTGCAGATTTGTGTGTATGCACCGTTTGTGAATGAGGCCCTGTGTGACTGTTTAAACAGGTTTATGTCCCCACAGAAAGAGTAGCACACAGATGCACATACCTGCACTCCAGGGTTCCTGACGATGATACAAGGCGTTGTTGCTCTTAATGCTCCACTTACACCATGATAGTATTTAAAGCAAATCTTAGTCTCTGCTGCAAAGAGAACACACACAAATGATCAAGAGTATGACATCTGCTTTATTTCCACATCCACAAGGGGCATCATATATCTGTTTTCAAAGGATGAGTCGGAGAGGCAAACTGTAAATTATTGTGTAAAATCAGTGGTATGCTCCTTTAACTCTGTAACTAACGAAAGCATAGGACACCGTGAAGTCCACTCACGCTCCGTGAAGTAGGGTCCTGGCTCCAGTCTCCACACAATCTGACCTCTCTGGGTGCCGTTCACTCCGCGATTCTTGGAGTCCCATACATTGGCCACACACATCTCATCTAAGAAACACATGCATTTACATTCATAAGCTGTTCTTCTGTGTTCTTATGCCTTCTTCTGTATCAATAAGACACTTGCTACACAAATTTATAGCAAGTTTTATCTAGTGTTTTGGTAAAATGTTACATAATTTGACCTCTTTAGGCCACAGACTGTTTAAATGAAACCATGTGGGAAGCTTAGAGGACAAAAGCCTGAACTAAGGAAACAAGAAAAAGAATGACACTGACAAACCATTGAGGATTCTGCTTCCTGAGGGACCCCTCGGCTCATAAACCACATGCCTGTCAAGCCATCAACATTTGGGTACCTGTTTGACTTGATACCCTCATCCAGACATTATAAAACTACAGTTTGAGAAGCGTGACACACAGAGAAGAACCCTTCCAGACACACAGATCAGACAGTAGGCTATGGAGCTTAGGCAGCTCCAGGATGGAAATGGTGCTAAACTCTGAGGAGAAAAACCCCAGAAATCCCCCTGCCTGGGTCAATACTGCTGAGGAGCTGCAGAGTTTGAGGGATGGAGATATCACCTTTCCCTTTAAATGTTTCTCTCTTGGATATAGGCTTGTCCAAAGGAACTCACTCTCTTTCACACGGACACAAAATCGTTCACCTGTGGTTTGACCTTAGCTTTTATGTGTTTTATTTCACTGGCTGTTGAAGGCTACTCTTTCACACCTGTGCCTGAGAACTGCAGGACAAGTCCAGCAGACACAGGCTGGTATCTCACACACACACACACACACACTTTTTAATCTCACATTCAAGTTATGCTATAACATGTTAAATGATAACAAAATGAGAAAATGGAATTCAGGTATTTATATCAACACAAAAAAGGCAGTTATAGTCTGCATTTATGACATGTTACACAGTCCAGACTGTAAGCATTTGGAGAGTCCCACTTTTTTTCTTTTCCTCTTCTTAAATTGTGAGACTATAACGTCACAAAATGAAATATATGTAATTCAAGTGCAGGTGTTTCTATTTCATGAATTATTCTAAAAATCTTCACAGTTAATTTAACCTCTGTTTACTATGTTGTAAAGTGTGACGTGGGCCATATGTGACAGAGTATCCCCCAGAGATGAGTTCTGGTAGACCAGTCTGATGATTTTTATTTCCACTCCAAACCTGGACCACACCTTCATTTGATTTTGCATCAGAACAGAAAGCAAAACTGTACTCAACTAAGATTTTACACACCATTTGATAAATAAAGTGAAAATGGGACAGGATGTGGTGTCTCTCATGACATTCTGCTGCTAACTCACATTACAGATTTATTCCAGGTTCTCTACCCTGTGTTGTTAAAATTCAGACTGTAATTTTGCCTCGACTGCCACCTAGCAAAGGTTATAAGAAGTGTTTTTCAAACTGCAAGTAGTTATCTCAGACAGCCAGTTAGGATGGAGCTCTCAGCAGCTAAAGTGAGAACCAGCGGCTGCCAGAGTGAAGAGGTGGCATTCTTTGCACAGAGAGAGTTGGACAAGGAAAGAGCAAAAACCAGGGTTAACATAATTTTGGCTTTTTGACATGGAGAGGGTTAAAAGCAGGCAAAGGACTCAGATTTGATTCAGATGTGGTGTTCTTCCTTCTGGGCATGTTAGCATATTAAGCTAATAAGTTTGTTTTGTAGGGTTGCCAACCATCCCATACAATACAGAATCATTCCGTAGCTGGAAACTAAAACAACTGTTCCATATCGATCCGACAGGAGACTGCCTTTGTTCTGTATTTCTGAGAATCGTTTCAGTGCAAATCTATTAGAAAGAAATATTGGAGGTTAGACTATTAGTGAAATTGTACTGTATATGATAGAAGGAAATCCTCCGGTCTGAGTGGCTCAGCCTGCCTGTCATGTTCCACATGGAACTTCCAATACCCAAATAGAGAAGGCACTTCTCATTGGTCATGACCCAGGACCAATGAGAAGCGCTACAGTGTTGCTATGATACACAAGACAGATGGCGCAGGATTTTAAAAATGGTGACCTACCAGGCTAGCCAGCCGGCAAGATTTCAAGATTACAAAGGGAATGGGAAAATGAATAGAAATGGCTGGAATGCGAGAATGACAACATGTACAAGGAGTACTGCACTGTACCACCAGGCTTACTCAGTAAGTCACAGAGGAATCTGTGACATTAAACAGCAACCCTTATTTACATTTCTGGAAGCTGACAACCCTATTGTTTTGGTAACATTAGTAACCCAGCATGGCCAGGGTTTTACCTCTGTATTGAAGTACTGGGAGTAATTTGAAGTTTGTGTAACATTAGTGCACTCTGGTTACTGTACATTACCAGTAACCAGAGTGTTCTGCTGGACTAATAAACCAGTTAGTCGGTTAGAATACATTTCCACTACTACAACAGAAGGTGAAGAGAGAAACAAAGAAAATACAACTTGATAATGTACTTCAGACCCATTATATGTATCTTCTTGTGGTATGTTTAAAAATCTGTTGTACAATTTGTGTAATATTTAAAATTGGTCAAATTAAAACAGGCAGATGTTTATATTTTCATTGTTGTTTTGAGACAATTCCTCTTTACTTCACACCCTCCATCATTCACAAGTACAGAGATCTAGGACAAGGACTAGGCATTCAAAATGTGCTTTTTTCAACTCTTTGTATCGCCATCTTTTTCTTGCAAATGCACACAGCACACACACAATCCATTAGCTGGTTCATGTAGCAACAGTGCTGCTGATGTAATGCTCTAACCTTGAGGAGATGAGTTGCAAGTCATAACCTCTTCAACAGCACTATCATATCACTATACTGCAGTAAATTTTATTACACTGCTAGACAAACAGGAGAATAGGCAGGAAGACTGAGAACATGGTGAGACACATGAAGGAGGCAGGAAGACAGATGAGAATGAGAATGATAAGCATGTACAAAATAGACCTCAACTGAAGCCCATTTGATTTCTTTTAGCATGATGAATATGTAGTTATCAAAACTCACAAGTCAGCTGGAAACACTAGAAGCTGGATATATTTTTCAAACCAATCATGGATTTTAATAAACTAGCTAGCAACAGCTGACAAAGTCTATCAGCAACAGTTGTCTTGTCTAGCATTTGGCTACTTCTGTTTGAAATCGAGGACATGCTGTTTAAGAAATCTGGGACTATTATCATGTGGCTTACTAGAAGAGAAAGCCTAATAAGTGGAGCAAGCAACTTGAAAGGATGAGGCTTAGCAAAGTGTTGATTAGGTACTGGAAGAATAATTACTTGCTGAAGGTTCCTTTTTCATATACATACAAAAATTATAAAATAAAATAAAACAAGATTATATTACTAGCAAACTGCACTTCAGGGGGAGGTTAGATCTGAGTTTGCTCACCAATGTGGTACAGGCCGATCCAGTCAGTGGCATCCACTTCCTCCTTGATGTCCCAGGAGATCACCAGATGGCTGTGACCTAGAGTCAACTGGTATGTAGACGCCGTGAGTGATGAGCGGCTGTCTGAGGTCACCAGGTCCGTATCACTATTAGCCCGCTGGAGTCCCATGCCTGTTGCTTCTGGCTGGATCTCTGATGACATAGCAGAGGAGGAGGACCCGGTATTGGAGGCTCCACCTGTGCCCTGTACTGACATACTGTGGAGGTTGTCAGGCCCAATCGTGTATGGCCGAGTGTGCGGGGTACGCTGGCGCACTGCCAGCAGGTGTTCCCGAGCACTGCCATTGGCTGATGATGAGGACGGAGGAGAGGAGGAAGAGGAGGCAGTAGCAGCTGTTGCCATGGCTATTGAGAAGGGAGGGGGTGAAAAGCAAGGGGGAGAGGAAGAGATCTGGTGGTGGTGGTTGTGGGGATGATGATGATGGGGAGAGGAGGGGGCAGAAGAGGTTGAAAGGGAGGATGACTGGGGGCGGGGACGAGGGGGGAGGACTGCCGTTGCAAGGGAGGGGCGAATGGTGAAAGCCAGGTGGGGAGGCCGAAGGAAGAAAACAGAGAAGGGCGGGAGGCTAGGACCTTTAGCTTATTAAAAATGCCACCTCTAAACCAAACTGAAGAAGCAATAAATGGCTGGAAAGGTGAAGTGAAAAGGAGAAAATGATGGTGGGATGGAGGGCCAGAGGGCAGAATCAAGGGATCACAATAGCAGTGCACTTTCCAAGGTACCTCTTTTTAAAATACAAAAACAATTGATAGACCAGGCTAGATTTTGGATTCCCCACTGCACATTTCTTTGGCCGTACTAGCGTAAGAGGGGAAGGCATGTAATTTATCCCAGGGTTCAATTGTCAATATTCAAGATGTTATGCAGCAGTCCAAAGCTACTTGACCCTTCTTTCTGCCTCCTATATCAGTGACTTGTATTATGTCTCCACTGTGAATGTTTTCAAGTTATCTCTCTTGATAGCGAAAAAAAAAAATTACATTATGAAAAAAAGGAAAGAGGTGGAGGGGGGACACAGGCAGAGAAAGACAACAAAGGAAGAATCAAAGTTGATTCGGCAATCCTTCAACTTGTTGGTCCAGGGAGGAGGGGGTGATGACAGGGCAATCCTATGATCCACTACTAGGACAGGGGTGGAGGGAGGTCGGAGACCTGTAGGGTAAAGAGACAGAGAGAGAGAGAGAGAGAGAGAGAGAGAGAGAGAGAGGGGCCGAAAAGAGATAAGGTAAGTAGGAAGAATGGGGGGGGCAAGAAGACATATGATGTTCTTTCTTGTGTTTGTTCACTTCTACAGAGCCCTATTAGTCCTAGTGTGGGCAAGCTGGTGGCTTGTGCAAACAAGACCATAACTTGTGGAAACAATAACTTGTGTGAATTTGGCTCGGGACATACAGTAGGTAGTCTTCTGGCTTCCTTTATGTTTCCAGTCTTTATTCTAAGCTAAGCCCCTTCACTATGTAGTGTACAGCAGAGATGGTTCAAACTGTGTTTTAATTCCAGTAGCAGCACTTGCATTCTGATATTTCACTAGGCTAAATAGGTTTTCTGTCTTTGTATGAAGATAATATGATACTATACAGTGTGAGAAATTTAGAAACACAAGCAGGCTATATTTAGTTTCCCATCAGTTCAAGCAGTGCACAACAGTGATTGGCTGTGCACACAAAGGTCAAGCTAGGGTCAAAGTTTAACAATTCTTACTTTCTGGTGCAACCCTGCTCCATGCAAAAAAGTTGTTTTCCCGCGATAATGTGAATACACTTTAGAAGTAAATTACCAGGGTTTCATTTCTTAGTTTAGAGGTTGAACAGGGACTTCACTGAATGGAACACAGGCAAAGCGCTGAAGACATCATATTTCTGCCAGTCTCTATTCTGCTTTTTCAGATGTTTGACAAAATGCTCATAGTCTCCATCACTGGTGGATTTTTGTCTAAACAGAGAAAAACTGAACAGTTCGCATAAGCCCATAAGGTTATGTCGGGTGACTGTTAAAGGAAGCACAGGGTGTACCGCTCCGACAGTGGAAATGCAGCTTATGTGATATTACATATCACAACATCACATTTACAGAAGCTACAAAATGCTTTTACTTTGTGCAACAACCTACCTCGTTTTATGTAGCTGCACCAGTAAGCAAAACATGAAAAGTTTACATCAATTTGATATGAGTTACAATGACTTTACAACACAAAGAGAGGCCTATATGTCAGCCACACAACGACTTTGTAAAGGTGTCTCCACCACCAGCTACTTCAGTGGTTCACAGGTTCAATTCCACTTCCTGAATGGATAGAAGTAAAACCGTATCCTGCTGCCCTTTCAAAATACACCCCATTTTTTTTTTTTCTATCTTCCTCTCCTTTCTGTCAAACTCTAAACACATGCAATTTTGTTGCCATGGTGACACACCCAACTGTGTCCTTCCTCTCCTTCCTCCTGTCTAGTTTTTTGCCATTATGACACTGAGCGGATGTGCACTCACACACAGGCACGCCATCCCTGGGGGTGGCTAAATTAGCTGTGCTGCTGACTGAGAGTGAGAGGAAGAAAGGTTTACAGGGAGTGTGCGGAAGACAGACCAAATAAATGAATGACAAAGAGGAGTGAGGAAAAGAAAAGCAGAATATGCTCTATGGGTGCATGTGAAATACATAGAGACAGTATGAATATCAAATACCTGATGTCTCCATGCAGATTTGACTGGCCCCTGCTTTGACATATACAACAGAGGTAATTTGATTTGTGATAAGACTAACTTCTCCTTAAGACTTTATTTCCTGAACTATTTTCCATCAACTCCAGGCTGCTTAAGACTCCACTACATTCACCAGTCTGTCATTACATGTGTCTGTCTGCTGTTTGGTACTGAGCAGCTAGTGTACAATCAGTTTATCAGAGCTTTGGCACTACAGACTGATGCCTGCTGCTGGAAAAAGTGCTCACAAGAGTGATCAAATTGGGCTTGTCATTTATAATTCATTTATGAACAATGGGTTTGACTATGGATTTCCATGGATGTGTTTCAGGTTGGGTCAAAAATTTTGATCCCATGAAGATCTTTAGTTTGACACTAGGTTGTCACTGTGTTATATGACATGATTTTGATGCTTTTCTAAAAATATATAGTGCATCCAGAAAGTATTCACAAGTGTAATACAAGTGACCAAGAAATGAACAGTTGAGTAACACTGGGACCGGGTGTCGAGCTTCGGATGGGAACACAGTCAGTGGTGGAGATGATGAGAAGAGGACCGGGCTGCGGACACTGGGACTCACTCCTGGACTGGTCGAGTTGGATGGTACTGAAGAGGAACAGAAATTGTACATACGGTAAGTAGTAGACTGTGCATCGACCTACAGGGTGGTGATGAAGCAGAGCGGAGGAGGTCCGTGGTCTGAAGGAGCGACTGAGGCAAGGAGGGAATGAATAAAATGCAGCTGGAGAGAAGGAGACCAAAAAAAAAAACTAACACAGATCAGAGGAACAAACGGGCCTGAGAAATGCTAGAAAGAACTGGCAGGGGAGTGAACGAAGGGCAAGGGCTAAATAAGGAGAAACTAATTAGGTGCAGCTGGTGGTAATCCGGGAGTAAGAAGCAGGTGTAAGGGATAATATAATCAGGGTAAGGGAGTGAAAACAGAGTGAGAAAGTAGGTGCAGCCGGGCAAACCTGACAACAGCGCTTACCTTTTTCCACATTTTGTTAGGTTGCAGCTTTATTCCAAAATGGATTAAATTCATTATTGTCCTGAAAATTCTACAAACAATACCCCATAATGACAATGTGAAAAAGTTTGTTTGAATTCTTTACAAATTTATTAAAAATAAAAAACAAAAACAAAAACAAAAAATCACATGTACATAAGTATTCACAGCCTTTGTTCAATACTTTGTTGAAGCACCTTTAGCACCAATTACAGCCTCAAGTCTTTGAGTATGATGCTACAAGCTTGGCACACCTATTTTTGGGCCGTTTCTCCCATTTTTCTTTGCAGTACCTCTCAAGCTCCATCAGGTTGGATGGGCAGCGTTGGTGCCCACCCATTTTCAGATCTCTCCAGAGATGTTCAATCGGGTTCAAGTCTGGGCTCTTGCTGGGCCACTCACGGACATCTACAGAGTTGTCCCGTAGTCACTCCTTTGTTATCTTGGCTATGTGCTTAGGGTCGTTGTCCTGTTGAAAGATGAACTATCGCCCCAGTCTGAGATCCAGAGCGCAGAACAGGTTTTCATTAAGGATGCGTCTGTACATTACTGCAGTCATCATTCCCTCGATCCTGACTAGTCTCCCAGTTCCTGCTGCTGAAAAAAAATCCCCACAGTGTGATGCTGCCACCACCATGCACTGTAGGGATGGTATTGGCCAGGTGGTGAGCAGTGCCTGGTTTCCTCCAGACATGAGTTCAATCTTTGTTTTATCAGACCAGAGAGTTGTTTCTTGTGGTCTGAGAGTCCTCCAAGTGCCTTTTGGCAAACTCCAGGTGGGCTGCCATATGCCTTTTACTGAGGAGTGGTTTCCATCTGGCCACTCTACCATACAGGCCTGATTGGTGGAGTGTTGCAGAGATGGTTGTTCTTCTGGAAGGTTCTCCTCTCTCCACAGAGAAATGCTGGAGTTCTTTCAGAGTGACCATTGGGTTCTTGGTCACCTCCCTAACTAACGGGACTAATATGTTCTTGTTAGGGTTTAGTCCCCCTCACCGGGAGGATGAGGGAGACCTAAGGCAGGACTCAAGATTGCTGACCCAAGTGCTAGTGAAAAAGGTGATTTAATGGGGAAAAACAACATAGTACAGAGTCCACAATACATACAACCAGGGAAGGGCAGCTAAGGAGACCAGAACAAATAGGAGAGTAGATTGACTGAAGGCGGGAACCAGGAGAGGAGGAGGATGAGGACGGATAGGTGAAGAAATAAGAGGGTGGCGAACGACCAAAGAAAACAACAGCACAGGAACTGTCAGCATTGAATTCTAGGTACCCATCGCTAAGCTTGTAGAAACAAATCATGCAAAGAGGTCCAAAGCAAAGAAACTGTCAGTGTAGCCTTCTATAAATGTATAACATAAAACAACATAACCAACGTACAAAATGCGATCCACAGCACAGGCACTGTCAGCTTGGAAAACAAAATGACGTACAATACATACCATGACTATAGGGCTGATACGGGGTATGCACGTTAGGTAAGTTAATGCTCCGTCAATGACAGAGCGTCTGCAAGAGGTATAACTAAGGAAGAAGGTAATCATCGGGGTGCACCCCAGCTGTGCGCACCGACAAACGAGTCGCTAATTACTGAAAACAACACAGCTGAAGTGCAGATCCCGCAGGATCGAGAGAGCAGAGAAGATAAAGGCGGAAGAGAGGCAGGTCGCGCTGAGCTGACCTGACAGATCAGTGGAAACAGGATGCACCAGAGCTCAATTTTGAGTGTCATGGCAAAGGCTGTAAATACTTATGTACATGTAATTTTTTTTTTTTTTAATAAATTTGCAAAGATTTCAAACAAACTTTTTTCACATTGTCATTTTGGAGTATTGTTTGTAGAATTTTGAGAACAATAATGAATTTAATCCATCTTGGAATAAGGCTGTAACATAACAAAATGTGGAAAAAGGTAAGCGCTGTGAATACTTTTTAGATGCACTGTAGACATGTATGGAAGTAAATGTTTGAGGATCACACATTTCAAGTGCTAATCAGTTTGCACTCAGCATTTGAGAATGTGCAGGCTCAGAATCACATTAGAGAGCATAATCCCTGGCATGTGCACGCTCATTTCTGAGCCTGGAAAGCATCTTAAAAAAAACAACAAAAAAAGCTACTGGAAACTGTATCCTTGCAACAAGCAGCCTGTAAAAGGTACCTAAAATTATTTACAATTTATGCAAACCCCTTATACGGACATCCAACAATTATAAGTCAAATGATAGTTCAATAAGTTCTGTACCTAATGTCAGTTTGTAATGTTTCTCTTCCTGACAGGAATGACAATGCAATTCAGTTTTGCTGTGGAACATCCTCTAAATTCATTCTATTTTTACCCCAGCAAACCCACAATGAGAGATACTACAATCAAAACACTTAATAACCAAGCTCACACCCACCCACATATTATCACCCACACAGTTTTATTAATAACTCAGCCTGTTCTGAGCATGGGGCTACTAGAAAGGTTTAAAGTAGCTTGTGCCCAAACTCTTTAAATCATGCTGAAGGTCTTGCAAATTGTACTTGCAAATTAAAACACACTCACACATGCTTCACTCTGGCACACCCCACCGGGGTCACACAAATTAAAACCCTCCTGCACAAACACACACAGATGCTGCCTTTTGTCTTAATACAACTAATCAGAAATGCACACCCACATACACATGAAGTACATGTACCCAACATTTCTAAGTATTGTCTACTAGTTCTAGACTTTGATTTGTTATAGTATGCTTATTCTATACACTGTCAGAACTTTTTGTGGGTGATTTAAATTTTTTTTTTCCACCTTAACTGCACTTGGTCACTGTATTTGGACAACTTATTGCATGGTCAATAGGACTGGTTGTTTTCCATTTGTGAACACAAATAACTTTGTCACATGGCATCTGGATTAACTGAAGGGGTCATGGAATAACAATAGCTTAATAAATTGACTTTTAGTATTGACAGGGTGTGGGAGCTTCTGTGATCTATCCACCTACTGTCACTGAGCAGGGAAATTTGACTGTCTGGTAAAATACACAAAAAAAGAGAGCCACTGAAAAGCATTAGGGACCATTCATTTTTCATGTCTTTCGTGGGCTAAATTTTGTTATTTTAAATGGAGACCCGTGACAAGTGCACTCAAATTAGTCTGGCAATGTTGTATCCAGTTCTCTATTACTACATCTATGCGTACTACACTGGACTAATAGCTACATTTCTGTTCCACATTAGCATGACATAGAGTAACACAGTAGATAAATACCCCTGAAACAATTATAATCCAGTCTTTAAGTGTAAATAAATCATAGCCCACTGCATAACAAAAGGAAGGGTCTGGTTAGAACAGACACTTATTGCAGGAGCTTGCAATAGCTCATAACGTACATATACAGTATTTAACCAGAGCTGTGGAAACCGGCCACTGACAGAAAAGAACACTGTATGAGTTTCCACAGTCGTCTCTTAGCTTGCATCGATATTTCAACCCCCCTTTCAAGAATGGCGTATTAGATTTCCACCACTGCAGGAAGTGACTGGTGTAGAGGGGGGCATCGACATCATGCAGTCAGAGCATGCAAACATAAAGTACATATAAAAGTTAAGTCACACATATGTGCTTTTCAGTACAAAATGTTTTTCACACACAGGACACCCATAGTCTCACTCTGACCCTAGCGATACCTAAACCAAGTCTTAAATCTAAAATTTGATGATTGACAGTATGTTATGGGGACTTGCTTTTGTCCCCAAAAGGTAGGCAAGTCCCCAGAATGTGACTGTGTAAATAGATTTGTGTCCTCCCTTTTGTTGAAATTGTCATAACAATTATATGTTTATTATTAAGGTCATAGTTAAAAGTGGTGTTGTATTGGACTAGATTATATTCAGAGGTGTTCCTAATATTCTGACCCTCTCATGTATGTAGCTGGAGAGGACAAAAAGATAGAGGCAGTGCCTGCACAGCAAAGGCTGCATCACTGAATTATGCAAGTGTTAAATCTTAAATGTTGCACTAGACAAGTTAGATATAAATACAGCCATCTGATCAGAACCCCAAAGTGGAGCTACAGGGGAGAGGAGTGACCGAGCGGCCGTCTCTTCCTGCTGGCACTTCTGTCTGCTAAACATAAGAACACGTCCTCTTTACTACCTCTTTATTAACTTACAGAATTTCTGTTGTGTGCATTGGATGACAAGTGTAAGGGGCTATTAAGTTAAATTTACTTTTAGCAACCTGGCATAGGTTTGTGCAAAAGCACATTTCTAAAATACAGTAGGACCACTCTCACGCATGCACACAGTCCTGAAATAGCTATGGAGTGATTGGAGAACAATAAGGCAGTCCTGTCAGAGGCGACAGCTTCCTGTCCCCAACACATCCACTGCATTCCTCTGTGCCAGTTTGTGTTTCAGACCCCTCTACTTCTAACCTTGTGCAGCCCAAAGTGCCCAATCCAGTGTGACAGACATGACCATGCTATACCAGCTGAGGACAGGTTATACACTGGTTAGGGGTTAGAGCAAAGATAAGGGGGTAGGTAGCCTTATATTAAGGTTAAATGGTTAGGTTTATTAAAGAAACACTTTGGAAAATATGCTTATTTGCTTTATCAGAAATCAAATAAAAATGTATACTACTAGTGTCTGTATTCTAATTATGAAGCTAGAGCCAGGTGCCAGTTAGCTTAAGTCACTGCTCCCAGACAAATAATAGTACTGCAGTAAACACCTGAAAAACCACAGTTTTCACTCAGATTTTTCTACTGATAAAAAAACCAACAAGATATATTTCATGTTGCTTCTAGGTCGATTTTGTCACCATTAGCCAGAGCCAAGCTAACTACTTACCCCAGTTTCCATGCTATGCTAAGCTAAGCACCTGCTGGTTGTTGCTTCATATTTACCTCTTCTTTCCAGCCTTTGATGCCAAAAGGTGTGAAAGGAAGTATAAAAATACAACCAATCTTTTCTCCACACAACAAAGGAACATGAATGGGGCTCTGGTCAGAGAAATACTCAGTATACAGTTTGAAGGGTTGTCTTTTATTGTTGTTTTTTTAATCTCCCTTCCCAAACCAAACCACAAAAGCAAAAGTGGAAGGATGTAAGTAATGTAAGATGCAAATGTTAGCATGTGTGGCTAACAACCTCACTACAACATACTACATCTCCTATGCAGTATTTCCTCATTGGGTGGAAGCTGGCCCTGGATGGCACTCCATCAGTTTAGGGTAGCGTTAATTAGCTTTAATTGTTGTTTTGGTTGGCAAAATTGGCAGTCTCTGGCTAGAAATGAGAGGCCTACTTTTATCAATATCTGAAATCATGGTGTTACTGTTTTAACACTTTTGAGTGTTATCACTGTAAATTGCATTTTTGTGTAGCTTTCTAATATCTTACAAAATAACCTTGGACTGAACACTTAAAATCTTTTACAAAAAATGTGTTATAGACCAGTATAGAATGGAATTTACCATACAGGTATGGTTTGGTGAAAAGACTACTGGGTTGGCATTATGAAAAGTGTTAAGCACTAAAATGCTGGCATATCCCTTTAAAATTTGATTTGTCACATCTTGTTCCAAGAAGTCATGAGAACAGGAAATGAACCTCCATCCATCCATTACATACAGTATATGTATACCGCTTATTCCTGCATAGGGTCACGGGGGCTGGAGCCAATCCCAGATGGACAGGTTGATAGTCTATCACAGGGCTCACATGTAGACAAACAACCATACATTCTCACACTCACTCTTATGGGCAAGTTAAGAGTCACCACTCAACCTAAGCTGCATGTCTCTGGACTGCGGGAGGACGTTTGAGCACCCGGAGAGAACCCACGCAGGCACAGGGAGAACATGCAAACTCCACACAGAAAGGCCCAGGGTCAGCCTGGGCTCAAATCCAGAGCCTTTTTGCTGTGAGGAGACAGTACTAACCACTGTGCTGCTGGAAATTAACCAACAGGGTCAGCTGAGTGCAGCTTCATCTTCAACCACATATTAGGAAGTCAGTGACTAATAGAGGATTTCACTTACTGTTACAGTAGTCATTGGGAAATTTGTGTAATATGGCATAAAGCTTTATCCAAGAGCAGGTTAAAAAGTGTGTAGGTCAGTGGGTTAAATTCAAAGAATAAAGCACAAGTCCAGGTTAACCTATAATGAAAGTGATTTCAAATATCAGGTGAATAGGCTGAGTAGTCAAAGATAAGCTTGATACGCTTGAGAATCTTACTTATTTGGAGTGTAATGCTAAGATGCAGTAGAGCAGTGCAGCAAGTATACAGACAATACTTCAACTGGACCCATGTCCTGAAACCCTAGCAACACTACTGCCAACTCTGAAAAATAATAAATTATATTTATCCTACATGAACATTGTTATTGATAGAGCATACTAGAGTAATAATACATTAGTCAGTTCCAAACTACATGTTTGTTCAGACAAATATCTGCATGTGAACTACAGATGTCCTCATTGTTAGCCACACATCTCAAGCACAAAGATGGCCTGCCAATTAATCTCTCCCAAGTCTACACTGGGGTTTATTATATACAAATTACCATCAGGATGAGATCCTACATGATGATGAGGCAGGAAATAACAGATGAGCTGTTTTCCTAAGACTGATCTTATTGTGCGGCACACTACAGCTCTGATCTCATTCCCAACCGTGTGTGAGCAGGTTGAAAAACTGCCCCTTTTCGCCTAAAGCTTCTTTTCATTTTGACACCATGACGTTTTATTGTGGCTTTCCTGTTTCTATTAGGCCTTTATTGGCCACTGTTGCTGTCGATGAAACGCATCAAAGCATGACTTGATCAGCTCACAAAACCTGCCCCGTCGGCGGCAGCGCGTCACACAACACTGACAAATTGTTTATAAAAAAAAAAAAACCACAAAACATGAAAACATTCGCGCTGACAGAAAACGTCAATTATATCATGACAGTAACTAACAAAGCAGCCAGCTCCACGTCAAAGCAACCCACGGTCTAGCCTACATAAATAAACCCAATTTCTATACACAGCAAAGACACCCCCACTTACCTTTGCTAGAGATTTAAACGTCGCTTACACCCCAACTGCGGGTCACAAAAAAAGAAAGAACTCCCCGAACACGTCGCTTAATCATGGACGACGGACCCCCTTACGGCCCGAGCACCATTGATCGTTCATTGGCTTCCAAGCGGGATCCGGTGCTCCAGAACCGGGGCGCAACATGGACAAAGCAACACCTCCCTTTGGAAAACGTTTGCTTTGTATTATTCCCCATTTAAAATTATGTTTGCCAACCGTGTCTCTCCGCAGTGTCGTGTCCTTCTCCGTGATACCGACAGACTGGATAAAAAGACGCTTTCATCTCTTATTTATTTCGCTGGAGCAGTTCACAGCCGCATCTCATTTTCCGCTGCTTCACACTTCTTTCTCGTGTTGTTTACGCTCGCCCATGCGGGACAAAATCAAACCGTGCTGTGATTATACTGACCTATTTCTATTAAAAGCGGTGGTTGGTAACTTTTTTGAAAAGCCACGCCTTGCTGTGGGAGTCCATACTGAGCGATCTCATCATCAAAATAACGGATTTATCACCTCCCACCTCCCCACTTTGTAGATCACCGATGTCCAAACTGTGGTTTAGGGGCATTCAAGTGGTCGTTAAAAGGGGCTCCGAGGTGTCCATGGTACAACTACAGTGTGATTTATTTACAAGAAACGATTTAAATTAGACGACAGACAGGGATTACTAGGTTAATCACAGATTTCATATGTAGACCGGTGCCGTTTAACAAGGCCAATAGGGGTTATGCGGAACTTACTTCCGTATGCTGCAAAACAGAATCATCCGTTTCCGGTTTGCGACTAGTATGAAATATAGCACTGTTCTACTCAAGATGTCTCCAAGATGAAGATCACGGATGGACACCGAAAATGCAGTTCGACGCCTAAAACACCGGGCAGCAAGCTGGATCAGGGGTTTAAGAGGAATCAGATGTCATTTCTTCTGGACGGGGATGCGACAGTGGTGCGGTGGGTAGAGCAGGCGTCTTCCAACCAGAAGGTTGAAGGTTCGAATCTCGGTGCCTGCAGTCCAAATTATAATAAAAGTGCACAGGTACTACACTATCTCTGCATGTTTCCCTTTCGCCACCCCACAGGTATCTGCACTAGTTTGTAACTTTACTGCTCAGGCTGTAGACAGAAGGTACATATACATACTGTATCATGTCATTTGCCTCGACCTTTGTACCCTCCAAAAACATATGAAATTGACGGCCAAATGGCCTTTCCCTTCAAAAATATGAAATTTATGGCCTGGTTTTATGCCTCTTTTTTAAAGTATATGTTCTGGTACTGTTTTAAAAGTTATCATTTTAGCACCGGTATCAGGGGAAAAAAAAAAAAAAAAAAAGATAAAATCCAAAAATTAATACATAAAGAAATGAGAAAATACTAAGATAAATGGTTTGTAACTGGTAAAAATGTAAACTTTTTATGAATGCAGCTACTTGATTTTGCATTATTTTTATGCTTTGCTTGTTTTTTGCAATAAATTTATTTCAGTATCTAGTTTAGCATTCACCTATTATTTTATTGATGAATAAGTCACTTTTAATCCTTTTATATTACAGTGCAATATTTGCTAAACTAAATCAAACAAAATGATGAGGTGTTTGTGTGCATTTTCAAACTATGCAGTGTGTATTGATGAGTTGGCAGGCCATCTCCATATTCCCACTGGCCTGGTAGATGAGGGACAAGTTGAAGGCAATCTCCCTCCTCAAATCCACCTGATCATCAGCAATGCCCTGCAGGGGGGATGAAGGAGAAAGAGACAAAAAAAGGAAAATACTCTGTGAGGATGAAGTATTGAGATATACTGAAGGTGTTGCTGTGTGTGATTATACCTCCAGTTTCTGTGCAGGCAGTGCAAGTGCCTTTTGGTAATAATGAATGGCCAAATGCGTGAGACCCATCTGATGCAGTGCTCTGCCCAGGTTGTACATGCTCTCCTGACACTCTCCACGCAGCTCCACATAGCGCCACAGAAAGGAAAAACCCTGAAAACACATGTCTGTTTAAGATTTTCAGGCAACAGTGTGTAATGAACAAGGGAGAAAGAGGGCGTACAATACACAACTACTGTACCTGGAGCACTAGTGTATGTCTTTTGGCAACATACTTCTGAGACGCCATGTGGAAGAAGGTGAGACCCACACACAAGCTGTGGAGTGGATTGTCTGGGTGGGTCTGGAAGGCCTGAACATACTGGCCTTAAGATACACAAGACAATTGGAAATGTGTTAAATGAATACCAGTGAGAAATGACTAGCGAATACGTATAAGAATCAGAATCAGTATCAGTTTTATTGGCCAGGTGTGATGGACACACGAGGAATTTGACTCAGGTACATCGGCTCTCAATGTGCAAACAGTAAACCAGCATAAGGCTGTGTAATATAACAAAATAAGCAGTATGTTCTAACTGCAAACTGACCACTGAAACTGAGGCCCAAAAGTCAACTTACAAAATCAAAAACAAGTCCTGTACCCACAACTTTATCTTTTTGTCAAAGTAACATTGTTCTTGTTGTGTAACACAGGGATAACACTCTTTAAATCCGAGTGTCAGGTGTCAGGACAACAAATTGAGGAGGATGCTGAGACGCGTTGTTAAAACAGTCCCTACTCTCAACGGTAAACACATGCACTAGTCTAAAATATGTGGTATGCTTTAAAAAACTGTCAGCAGTAATATAAAATGTGTACTTAACTGGCTACACCATGCAGAACAGCAAGTGCGGCTAGTACTAGTCTGTGTATGTTTTGTACCAAGAGCGTGTTTGAAGCTCCCCGACACCATAGCGTTGTGTCCGCACAGGACACACAAGGCGTGGTTGTCAGGATGTTTTAACAGCAGACGTAGGCAAAACCGATGGTGACGCTGGTGCTGGGCGTTTATTGTCAACTGAGGAAGATAAATGAGATCAGTTCACAAAACAGGCACGTGGACAATAAATGTATATATAAGTTGTATATTTTTGCTCAGACACCCAAATATACCTGGTTGAAAACATTCCAAAGCTGAGGCAGATCCACATTTTCCATCAGCATTAATCTATTGGGCAGAGAAAAAAAAATCCTTTAGATTCTTCTAAGTACAAAAACTACTGACAACAAAATACAAGTTCCTGAGTTCCACCTGATGAAGCTTTACACGAGTCTACCTGATGTAGTTATAGGCCTTGTAGTAGTTGCGGTCCAGAACTGTGGCAGACAGGCCGAAAAACTCCAGCTCCTTCCTCCTGGGCTTGTTATCATAGAAGGAGTAGAACTCCATGGCAGATTCCACCAGCAACTCAGCCTCATCATAGCGCTGCACCTCACACAGTGTCAGAACACAACTCACTAGCAGCTGCCACCAGTCCTCTTTGGACAGAACGCTTGTTTTCCCTGGCCACAAGGACAAAACAATACCTTCAGCATCTCAGAAACTACTATATAGGAGCACATTATGGGAAAAAATGTTTCAGCTATTCTCTGAATTGCCTAATGTCGTTTGAGATGTGTAATTTATAGACAAACCAATTCATCAGATACTAAAGAAAATAATCAGCAGTTTACTCTGTAATGAAAATTTCTAGTTGAAGGCATAAAAATGTTTTAGCAGCAGACCCGCTGGATTCAAGTATTGAAAGTAGATCGGGCAACGGCCAGACATCCCCGATCCCAATGAAACGGTTTGTTAGTTTTCTATTGTATAAACACAGTAACTGCTTACATTCAATAATGAAATAAGGCACGCTCTCCCATGAAAAAGTGAGCAAACAGACTTAATTTTAAATACTAGAATTAAATTGATTCCTTTACACGTTTGTTTATTGTTTGCCCTCCAGATTCAATGTCATGAGAGCATGGCTTGTGTAAAGCAGGATTTTTACACAGCAGGAAAACGTTTCCACATCAAGTAGTAACAGTACCAGAAACCAATAGCTGCCAGTAAGGCAGGGAATCAATCTGAAAATCTATCTGGCCAGCTGCTCTGTGCTGCTGCTGCTGGTACCCACAGGCCCTGTGCACCAGATACATACATACCAGTGTTGTCCAGGTAGGCAGCTTCATGATCGGTGATCTCTGGCAGCATGTTTTCGACCTTCACCAGCCTCAGGCGACTCTCACCCAACACGCTTACAGAGCATACACACACCTTAGCTCGCTGCATGGCCACCTACAACACACACATTTGTACTTCTGTCTTTGTGAGGCCAGTCCCTAACCAGCACAACTAAACACCTAACTGTGTTAGCTTTCATTGCTCATAGAAATTCTCCTGGATAACAAATACAGCTGGAACAGCAAAAGAGAAGTGCACATGTGTGTTACCTTAAGTAGCATGGAGATCATTGTGATCATAGCATCCAAGTAGGCCTGTATTTGTCCCCCAGTCTTCAGCAGAATGGATCGATGTAGCAGCAGCTTTAATTCCTACAGCCACAGCATATACACAGATATGGGTATAAGAACGCACACGCACGCAGCCTGATTTTGAGTTTTCATTAGTATTTTTAATTTATCACACCTTTTTAAAATGTTTCTTTTCTTAGAGTGCTTCCATAAGTATGTCTACACATGTGAGTAACCAGTTTTTAAATAACATTTTCTTTTTCTTGAAGCAACAAGCTAGAAAATGGGGCAGATTCTTGGAAAGTGATATTCCAGGGGTTTCATGACCAGTAGGAACACTAGAACTTTCAGTACCTACAGCCTAAGAACTAGATACTAGACTCCAGTAACTAGAGGATGTTTGACTCCGGTTAACCCATGTCAAAACACCAGGTCCCTTGCCTTCTGTGCAGCAGACGAGTCCTGTGCCAGTGTGTCGCTGTCATACATGGACTCCAGGGCCTTGAGGGCGCACTCCGGCCGACCCAGCTGCTGCTGTAGGGTGGCAAGGGAGAGCCTGGCCTCCAGGTGCTGCGGAGCCATCTCTACCACCTTATGGTAGCTTTCTGCTGCTGCCTCCATGTGGCCCAGTGCCTTCAGACACTCTGCAAGGGAGAGGTGATGAAAGCAGACAGAGAAGCTGAGCCATAACTCAGTGGTGAATCAAAAATCCATGTTTAAGATTATGGTTTTTGCACCAGATTTTATAGAACGCAACACACTGCCACCAAGTGTCACAAAATTACTTCCTCATCACTGAGCAGGCTTTATTGACCAAATGTTTGTGTGTACAAAGCTCTCAGTATTTATGCACAGCATAAATAACTGTTCAGGAACACATGGACATGCAGCAAAAAGAAGGAAAACAAAGTTGAATTAACAAAGATAGTTAAACACATAATTAGTATGTACAAGCAAGCAGGCAAAAACAGAACTGTGAAGCTGATTCTGCCTATTTAGCAGAGGCTGGGCATTCCATTAATGAGCCATTTAGTAGAACAGTGACATACTGTACATTTGATGACTACTACTTCATCCACATAAACCTGTTAAACCAACAAATAAGGCTGTTTACTGTATAGTGTGACAAAGCAATGTTTTCACGTCATTTTTCATGAACTCCACACTGCTGACTCAGCTTTAAATATATGGGGTGTAAATCAAATAATGTCTAGCGAGAATCATAGCCAACATCAGCAAACTAAGTTAACTAGCTTTCACTTTTTGAGTAGAACACAAACTTCACAGCATGATGGATCCCCCCTAATGCTGAATGTTGTAGAGAGACAGACATGAAAAAAGTGAGGAGAACTTAATTTTCAGTTTAGCATTAACGCACTCTGCATGTTGACTCAGTTCACTTCAACACCGGTCTCACCTGCGTGCCGAAGCCAGACGACAGCCAGGTTGTACTTCTTGGATATGACGAGGGCAGACAGCAGAGGCAGAGCAGACACGTACTCGCCTTTCTCCAGGTAGGCCTCACCTACATCCAGGAACAAGTCACCAACCTCCTCTGGACTCTGCTCCATCAGCGATGACACCAGGCTCTGTAAGAGGGTTGTACAAAGTGATGGAGATTGTTAGGCTAGATTTTCCAACTGTTGTTGAAAGTCTTCTGAGTCCTGTTTACCTCTAAGGGTAGGAAGACATGCAGGTGTATGAGGCAGACAATTAGCTTGGCTCTCAGGTCCACCGGGACAGTTCCTGGTACCTCTACATCTTGAATTTCACCTGGACACACACACACACACACACACACACACACACTCTCAATCAGCATTAATACTGTACATTCAAAAAACTAAATACAGCTCAATCAATTACAATCTTTATTGGCAAGTATGTTAAAATACACACACGACTATTTGCTCTTCCTCATATTAGTACTTCTGCTTCTTGTTAAACTGCATAAGCGAGATGGAACAAACTGATTTCAACAGGCTAAGGAAAAATGGGCAGACTACCTAATGTTGCACACAGCGACTCACCGTTGTCAGCTTCTGTTTCATCTACAGACTTCGCACCTTCTTCATTCTCCACCACCTGCTCTTCAGTTGTCATCTTTACCACTTTCACTTCTTGCCTTGATACTGTGAAATCTGATCTGGATTCAGCCCTGATCAAAACAATGCCTGCAAACTGGACCAAGACCTAGGAAAACACCAAGTACATGCAGTTATTAAACACACCTATTATTTGCTCCCTCTAAACAAAACAAGCACGCTTTGCTTCACTGCATGCACACACACAGGTCTACCTGCAGGGCTTCGCTGTACTGGTGGTTGGCGATATAGAGCTCAGCTGCCATGTTAACAAAGTCATCGCTGACCAGGGTGGGGTGTCGAGTCAGAGCTTCCTTTACCACACCCAGAGCTGCAGGCAAGTCATTACTCTCATAGTAACTCCTGAACACCGGCACACACAAATGTAGACAGACCCTTATGAGTTCTTATAGGAATAATCCAACATCTCAGAATATGATGTTTGTGAAAAATTTGTAAAAAGGAACTTTATAAACAAAACACACAGCTATGCCAACAGTAGGTTGTATATATACTTGGCCATGTCCTTTGAGAGCTGCATGAAGTACTCTCCGTCCTCCAGTGGCAGCAGGAGCAAGATCCTGCGGTAGCCATCCATGCACTGCTTGTGCTCACCCAGGCGCATGTGGAGGCTGGAGCGCTCCCACACGTAGCGCACGTTGGTGGGGTCATATTTAATGGCTGTCAATCAGCAATCAAATTAAGAGTGTGATTTTTACAGACCTAATTGTGCAATAAGAATAGAGATACATAATTTTGTTGACTTATATATTTCAATGTAAGATTTTACAGTTAAATGATTAGTAAAAGTATGAGTTCAGGGCTCCAGACTGTGAGTGAACAGTTGCATTTTGCAACTCTTTTCAAAGGTCGTACTAAGTGCAAAATGAACAGGTGTTAAAGAGTAACACATTTTGCTTGAAGCCTGTATGCCCATTATGTATTTTGCTGACTGAGTCACTGTATATACAGTGCCTTGCAAAAGTATTCATACCCCTTGAATTTTTCCACATTTTGTCACATTACAACCATAAACTTAAATGTATTTTATTGGGATTTTATGTGATAGACCAACACAAAGTATCACATAATTGTGAAGTGGAAGGAAAATGATAAGTGGCGTTCAAGATTTTTTACAAATAAAAATCTGAAAAGTGTGGCGTGCATATGTATTCAGCCCCCTTTACTCTCATACCCTAAATAAAATCCAGTGCAACCAACTGCCTTCAGAAGTCACCTAATAAATAGAGTCCAATAGAGTAAATAGAGTCCACCTGGGTGTAATCCAATCTCGGTATAAATACAGCTGTTCTGTGAAGGCCTCAGAAGTTTGTTAGAGAACAATAGTGAACAAACAGCATCATGAAGACTAAGGAACACACCAGACAGATCAGGAATAAAGTTGTGGAGAAGTTTAAAGCATGATTATATTATAAAAACATATCCCAAGCTTTGAACATCTCATGGAGCACTGTTCGATCCATCATCCACAAATGGAAAGCGTATGGCACAACTGCAAACCTACCAAGACATGGCCGTCCACCTAAACTGACGGGCCAGACAAGGAGAGCATTAATCAGACAAGCAACCAAGAGGCCCATGGTAACTCTGGAGGAGCTGCAGAGATCCACAGCTCAGGTGGGACAATCTGTCCACAGGACAACTATTAGTCGTGTACTCCACAAATCTGGCTTTTATGGAAGAGTGGCAAGAAGAAAGCCATTGTTGAAAGAAAACAATAAGTCCCGTTTGCAGTTTGCCACAAGCCATGTAGGGGACACAGCAAGCATGTGGAAGAAGGTGCTCTGGTCACATGAGACCAAAACTGAACTTTTTGGTCTACATGCAAAACGCTATGTGTGGCGGAAACCTAACACTGCACATCAAACTGAACACACCATCCCCACCATGAAACATAGTGGTGGCAGCATCATGCTGTGGGGGTGCTTTTCTTCAGCAGGGACAGGGAAGCTGATCCGAGTTGTTGGAAAGATGGATGGAGCTAAAAACAGGGCAATCCTGGAAGCAAACCTGTTAGAAGCTGCAAAAGACTTAGAACCGGGGCGGAGGTTCACCTTCCAGCAGGACAACGACCCTAAACATACTGCTAGAGCTACAATGGAATGGTTTAGATCAAAGCATATTCAGGTGTTAGAATGGCCCAGTCAAAGTTCAGAGACCTAAATCCTACTGAGAATCTGTGGCAAGACTTGAAAATTGCTGTTCACAGATGCACTCCGATCAATCATACTGAACTGGAGCTACTTTGCAAAGAAGAATGGGCAAAAATTGCAGTCTCTAGATGTGCAAAGCTGTTAGAGACATACCCAAAAAGACTTGCAGCTGTAATTGCAGCGAAAGGTGCTTCGACAAAGTATTGCATATGCACACCACACTTTTCAGATTTTTATTTGTAAAAAATCTTGAACACCATTTATCATTTTCCTTCCACTTCATAATTATGCAATACTTTATGTTGGTCTATCACATAAAATCCCAATAAAATACATTTAAGTTTGTGGTTGTAATGTGACAAAATGTGGAAAAATTCAAGGGGTATGAATACTTTTGGAAGGCACTGTAGAGGCGTTGACATTAAGCATTTAAGTGTAATCCTACTCTTATTGTTCAAAGAACTGATCAATGGTTCTATCTTTGTGATAAAATGAATGTGAATGCAAAAACAAAATGAAGAATGAGATCAGTTCACAGAATGACCTTTGGTGTAGCAGAGGATGGCCTGTCGGATGTTGTCCTGCTCCAGAGACAGTTCAGCCAGTCTGATCCACTCCTCACTGTCTGAAGGGTTCAGGTGGGCAGCGATCAGACCAAATTGCAGCGCTCTGTCCATGTCTTCCTCATCTTCGTAGATCATAGCCAACCTGGAGAAAGGCTCATATGCCAGAGGAGCTGGAGGATAAAGGAGACAAGGTCAATTTAGATTTTTAATTGGAATATTTATTACTGACATTTAAACACAATCACTCTTTATAAACCTCCTGAGATAGACAAGTTATTAAAATCATTATCCAAACAATTCCAGACCTAAAGGGAATTTGCAGATGTGAGATACATATAAAGAGACACACACCCTGCCTTATGATCTCCATACACATCAAGATAGCATCCTCTTTTTCTCCTCTGGCATAGCGGATGTTGGCTTCTCCCATCAGACCCCTCAGTGCTCGGGGCAGCTTGCTGCGATGACGCCTCTCCTGGACACACACAGAGTCACAAACTAACCCCTATTAAGAGTTGGAGTAACACACCTCAACAAAACCATGAAATATTGGATCTTTTTAATGGCTATTCGAATATTCAAAAATCATTGCCCATACAAATTATTTGAACCCCAGCAGATTTTGTAAGTTTGCCCACTAACAAAGAAATGTCTACAATTTCAACGGTAGGTTTATTTGAACAGTGAGAGACAACAATAA